AGCCTGAGAACTTTTATTAAAAAAAAAAAAAAAATTGATCAGCATCGATGGAGCCAAGAAGAGGCGGAGATACAGAGGAGGAGCAAGGTGTGCTACTTGGCATAAAAAAGGGCTCCTCAGCACCCGAACTTGGGAAGCTTTCCCCACCAGCAATCATGACGATTGTTAGGATCAGCGGGACGCTGCCTGGACCTGGGACCATAGGGATGCCTTGGACCCACGGTGGTAGCTATCGATCTCTTTCCTCTTTTCACTTTACTTTCCCCTTTCCTTTCACCCTCTTTACCTATCGGATGCTGCTTTATGGGCGGACAATAAAGTTTCACTGTTTGATTGAAGCAAACCCCTTTGGCGTGGCCGCCTTAATTTTGCACTTTGAGATCACAGCAAACGAACCATCATGAGTCCACCGAGTGGACTGTGACAGGGTTTATTTACTGAACAACCTTGGGCTAGTTGGGACTTGGCCGATGTCTTTTTTGGAGGAGGTCAGAGCCTCATGTGAGCTGTCAGGGTCTTGGGATCTGCTGCAGGTACCTGGGAAGTGGCCTGTGTTCAGCACCGGCCGTGTGGCTCATCTCTCCCCCTGCTCCCAAAGGGAGGGGGGATCGGACAACATTAGTCTTGATGAGAAATGTGGCAGTCATGTGTGCAACTGCTACTGCTCGCTGCCTCCCGGCAGTGGGTCCAGCTGGATTATTGCTATCAGATACCGTCACTGTAAGGCAGGCCTGCCCTGAAGCATGAGGGATGCCTGAGATGGTCCTTCCGTCTTTCAGCTCATTGCCTGTCTCATCCTACTCAGCTTCTCTAGAAAATTATTTATGTACTGAGAGAGAGAAGTTGAAGGTCTTTTTTTATGCCCAGCAGTTTGTTCCTGAATACCTGGGTGCACAGCTCTTGTTGTTTCAACAAGAAGGAAAACACCAGCATCTTTAAATGCCTAAAAGCTACTGAAAATCTTGCTCTTGGATTTTAAAAGAAGCGTATAGATCTTAAATGTTGGACAGGTCCTCCAGAGGTTATGA